GCTGCCTCTTATTTTTTTTAGACGGAGTCTCACTCTGTTGCCCAGGCTAGAGTGTGGTTGCACAATCTCGGTTCACTGCAACCTCTACCACCCAGGTTCAAGCAATTCTCCTGCCTCAGCCTCCTGAGTAGCTGGCATTACAGGTGCCTACCACCACGCCCGGCTAATTTTTTGTAGTTTTCAGTAGAGATGAGGTTTCACCATCTTGGCCAGGCTGGTGTTGAACTCTTGACCTTGTGATCCACCTGCCTCAGCCACCCACAGTGCTGGGATTACAGGCATGAGCCACCGCGCCCAGTCAATACTGCCTCTTGTTAGCTGCTGAACCTTGGGAAGATTATTTATCTCTTTGTGAACTGCATTATTGCTGTTTGTAAAACAAGACTAATAATTTCACTCTCTAGCATTCCCATGAAGATCAAATGTGATGTATAATGATGTATATGGGACATTTAGCTTGCTGCTTGGCATTTATAGGGGCTCCCTAAATAGGGATGATAAATATTCAAGATTCTTTTTTAATGATTCTTAAAATTTACTTCAACTTGAAGACGTAAATTGAACTGTGGCAGTTCTGTGGCTTTTTGCTAAAATCTTAAGAGGATATTTACAAATTTGCCAGTAGTTTAAACTTAGCTTTTTCTGAAGAGGAGAATGGAAGTGAACCGTGACCTCTAGAATCTTAACTGAGTTATCCTACGGTGTGAAAATAGATAGGATGGGGGCCATTCCACTTTGCCTTTGGCTGTTGTTGTAACTCTCTTGGAGCAAGATGTTCTGCAAAAATTTCTGAAATGATTCTTTCATTGATGTAAACACAGGGACACCCAGTTGGAGGACATTTTGGCACTTCTATTTTCTATCTCCCCTGTGCATCCCATAGGGAAGCTCAAACAATGGGGGATGATGGTATGAGTTTAAACTTTAAGAAAACAGTGCCCTCCTGAGAAGTCCTCTTCAGGCCGTGCACGATGGCTCATGCCTCATGCCTGTAATCCTAGCACTTTGGGAGGCCGAGACAGGTGGCTCACTTGAGGTCAGGAGTTCGAGACCAGCCTGGCCAACGTGGTGAAACCCCATCTCTACTAAAAATACAAAAATTAGCCAGGCGTGGTGGTACATGCCTGTAATCCCAGCTACTTGGGAGGCTGAATCAGGAGAATTGCTTGAGCCCAAGAGATGGAGGTTTCAGTGAGCCGAGATCGTACCACTACACTCCAGCCTGGGGTACAAGAGCAAAACTCCATCTCAAAAAAAAAAAAAAAAAAAAAAAAGAGAGAGAGAGAAGTCCTATTCTATAAAATTATAAAATGAGTGCAGCTACCGGAACCATGGGTGTCAGATGCGCACATCCAGCAGGAGGCAGTCTTGCACTCCAAAGGCACTAACTATGGGTCCCCAGTTCACGCACTCAATCATTGGGCTTGGCTCCTAGGAGTGGAAGTAACTAAATGCCTTCTTAGTTGTTTAAGTTTTAGCAGCTTAAACTTTTGCTTTTTGTAGACTTAGCAGTTGGTTGACAGAGTAGTTGCCTCGGCTCTGATAGGTTTTACTTCTTTCTTCATGCTTTGATGTGGGAGTAGACAAATGGCAGAGCAGCAATACTCAGAGTGGACCAGTGCTGTAGATGTGTAACCACTGAATAAACCAAAAATAAAGAGCCTCTTGGTGACATGCACATGAGTGACTGGATGTCTGGATCCTGGGCACCACGTGTGGAGATCAAGTGCTTTCAGTTTGCTCATTAGTTGATTTCGGATGTTTATTCTTATACAGATCTTGTACGGACACTATATCCTAAACAACATCTTTACGAACTTTTTTTTTTTTTTTTTTTAAGGAAAGCTCTTATATCACATTCCCAGTAGGTACACATGTGTATGTTCATGCATTGAAATGAGAATTTCTCAGATCACTGCTAACCTTTGCTACATGAGATGACTCTGATATATTGAATTTCATTTTGTTTTCTTCTATTTCATTAAAAAAGTATAGTTGATACCTATAAAACGACTTTATAATGCTGTAATGCACTAGTGGGTCAACATTTGCAGTTTGAAAAACAGTGTGCCTAGACAGTCTAGTGACGTTCAGTTTTCAAACTAATCATCCCAAGGTCTCCTCATATTTCCTCAAATGCACATCTTCTGACTCCTTTAGGGGTTTCCTACCCTCTAGTGTTGATGCTTTCCTGGGGCCACCCTCTGTTCTGCTCTTGATTGAATTTCCTCCTAAGTATCACCTGCTTACCTGGCTATGACGATCATTGCTGCTGTAGTGATTCATAAATGTATATTCCCAACTGTGGTTGCATTCCTGAATTCTATATGATGCTTCCAGTAGCATTCCAAACAGTTTCTTGTAGCCTTCTGTTGTACCCTTCATCTTGAACTCAGCATCAAAATCAAAATCATTATTTTGTCTAAACACTGCAACTTCTCTTCTTAGTCTATTAATGGCTCTTTTGTTCCCCCATCTACCTAGCCCAAATATTCCAGGCCATCACTGACTCTTCACTTTCCTTCGCCCTCCACAGCTCAGCTTTCCTCAGCTCTTGTTATTTTTTTGCTCACAACTTCTCTCTCACTTTTCAATTTTGACACCACATCATCTCGATTAAAAAAAAACCAAATGGCTTCTCATTACCTACAGAACTGAATGTGAACTCTTTAGGGTATGGGACTTTGGCCTCAAATCTTATCTCCCTCATTGCCCTAAATGTGCCCTTTGCTGCACTAAATATTGATCCCCGACTTATGCCCTAGGAAGAAATAAATCTTTTCTAGTTTCTCAGGAATGAGCCTCCATTTTTTTTGATGAATGTGACACTTATCATGTGTTTCCTGCTGTATAATGTCACCTTTTGGATTAATATTTATTTAGTTTAGCATGTTATTAGGTACTTTCTAGAGAGTTGCGATCTGGGAGTCACCTTGAATTGCCCTCTCAACATCGAAAGAGTTTCTAAGCCTTATTGATACTGTTCCCTAAACCAGTTATCCTAAAACTTTCATGTGCATATAAATTATCTGTTAGAATAAAGATTCTGATTCAGAAGGTCAGGGATGTGGTTTGAGATGCTGCATTTCTATTTGGCTTTCAGAAAATGTGAGGCTGGTGGTCAGAGAGCCACCATTTGAGTAGCAAGATTCAAATGTGACTTTAACCCATCCCTTCTTCCTCCATGCCACTTTTTGGGTTTGAGACCTTATTATTGCTTATTCTCCTAACTGGTCTGTCTGCCACCTGACCCATCCCAACTCTAGTTTGTCTCATAAAACTATTATCTAATGGATCATTACCTCGTTTGTGAACTTCCTAAAACAAAAGTGCAATGGAAATTAGAAATGCAGTCCTTGGAGACCTGGCCCGTGAGCCAGGACTGGGTTAGGAGCCTTGCTTGGAACATCCTTATTCTTTTCCTGTTTCCATGGTTTCCTTCTCTGTTAATTCATTTTGGCGAAATTAATGTGGCTGTTCTGCTTTTCCCAAAGCACTGATTTTTTTTTTGCCCCAGCCCAAGCCAGGCCCCATGTACTATGGTGCCTAGATTTTTCACATAACTTGAATTTCCAGAAACACCTTCCATGTGTTCTGTCTTAAAGACACCATTGCCAAAACTCTGTGGGATTCAACAACAGTGAGACTGAAGAAGGTGAAAGTTGCTAAGAGGAAAACCATTAGAAGGATAAACGAAGTAGTCCTTCCATGAAAGCTAGCCTCCCCTCTTTATAACTGCCCTATGGTCATTTTGATCTCGCTGAGCTGGGGTGTCATCCCTGTTGTGGATTTGCACAGGGGCCTGTGAATTTCAGGTTTTTGCTCTTGCAGAACTGCCTTGTAGGTTAGAGGGAGCAACGCTTTCACACGTACTGCTTTTCTATTGTATTTTAATTTATATTTATTCATTCATTTATCTTCCTTTTTACTGCTGGCTCTGTTGTTCAGTATTAGCTAATATATTGCAAAGTGAACTTTCATTGACCAGGCAGAGGCCAGGGTAGGGCCAGTGAGAGAGAGATTCTGGAGAACAACAGACGGGGAGGAAGCAGAGGTGTGCAGTGAGATTCCTGGGTTTGGGATCCCAGTTCTGCTGACTTGTCTGTATAGTCTTAGAAGTGTGATCCAGCCTCTTTGTCCTGCTCCTCCAATCCTGAGAGAGGTGGTGGAAACAGATTACTGCTTAGCAGGCCTTAAGGACAAGTTACCAGGGCCATACAGAATCTTCTATTTTTTGAAAAAAGCAAACACAACTCTCCTCCCTATAATTACACCACACTGCCCTCAATGCCAGTGAAGTTTTCCTCTGCCCTGTAGGTAGACTTTTGTGTGACCTTCTCAGAAGCAGGAAACAGATTGAAAAATCAGTAATATGTGGATCAAAAAGTATTTTTCATTCTCATATGCGTCCCTTTGTTGCAAAGACTGTGATATTCCTCCATGGAAGAAAGCGATGAATTTGGAAGAAAAATCCCAACATAACTATTTTCCACCCTAAGGAAATAGCCTCTCTTTCCAATGTGTGAATGCATTTTCCACTGCATCCCCAGGGGTATGAGTGTTTCAAGAAGTTTGCACTGTGCTGCTACATTCACTAAACTCCCAAGCCCCACTCCTTCCCAGACCATCCTCCAGAGTCCCTGCATGTTTCCAGAAACAAATCAAGAGACTGACAAGAGCTCTGCCTGATATGAATAATAGAAAAATGAACCACTCTGTGCAAGGAAGTTGGTGGAAGATGGGAGTCAAGCAGGGGAGAGAAAGAGATTTTCAGCAGCAGAGGGAACCTCAGAGACCCATCTGTAAGATGGACACTTCGCTCAGCATGATTTCTGCATTTATGCCTATTTAATGGTCAGCAGGGCAATCAATAGATTGCCTGTAACCTGGTTAATCATGGGTCTGTTGAGGGGTGGCAGCGGGCATGCTGGCTGTGGGATCCATGGGCTGACAAAAAGACCGTTGAACGTTGACTGTTACTTTTCTTTCTCTTTCCCCAGGGCAGCCACTGAAGTTTTGGCAGTGTTGCTGAAATCCAGTAAGCACCTCTTTTGAAGGGTGGTTATTTCCTTCCCCTCTGGGTTTAATGAAAGATACCCTCTGGTCCCCATGGCTCTTTCTTTTTTCTTTCTTTCTTTTTCATGAACTACTATTTCTCAAGCACCTATGGTTCATTTCTGACCTTGAAAGCGATAAAGTCATGTCCTGGGTCTTTGGGGTAAGATAGAGAATATTATAGTTGTTCCAAGTACATGACCACAGAGACAAAATAAATATTATCCATACATAATGCCACCAAGACAACGGACCCTGAAGGGGATATATTGTCTACTGTGGACCTGGTGGATCCTCCACCCCTGTCTAACAGAGCCAGTAGTCCCTGAAGATTGTTGGAATAAACTCCAGGTTCCAGTGGGATTGCCTCCAGGTTCCAGGGGAAGAAAAGATTTTGGCTGGATGGAGAGCAGTATTCCTGTATTTGGTTCTCAACTCAGCTCAGCTCATGAGTCTATTATTCTTGGGCAGGTGGAGTGTTGGGAATTGCTTGGACAATGTTGATGCCGATAACAAATTTATATTTAAAAGTTGACTCTTTTCTCAGTTACTTGAGTGACTGCAAAATAATAGCTCTGGGGTTCTGAATAATTTGAGGATTTTTTTTTGCCTGGTAGCCCTGGCCTAATTACGTTGGGAGCCAATTTCGTGTGTGCAATATAATAGGAGGCACAATGCACTTGGGAGGGAAGAAGTCTTAGCTTAATGTTTTTACTCATTTTTTCCTCCTTACCTCTTCATCTATTTTAATTTGGCACCTTGGACACTAGCTGCTTCAATTGTGATATTTGTTTCTCTACAGGGAGCCTGAGGCCTGTGGGTAATAGGTGAACTTTAATAAAACTTTTAAAGAAATAAATAAAAATAAAAACACTCTCTTCCCCCTCATTCATATATCTCTGTCAAGTATGAGCACAGAGAAAGAGCCAAATCACATGCTGTTTCCCTTTACAAACTTAGAAAAATTGAAGCTTGAATTCATTTAGTTTATTCGAATTTGATAGGAGACACAAGTCTGTCCATAGCTTAAAGACCTGCAGGTAGAAGGGAGGTGGTAAGAGCAGGATGGGGGAGTGAAGAGGAAGGGGTTACGAAGCCCTGGAGATAGGAAGGGATGGAAAAGTGTTACCTGTGGGTTCTGGGGAGAGGACCATTCATTCTTCAGACTGAACTTGCTTCAGGTTTGGCATCTCGGTTCTCATTATTTATCTGCTCCCTTGGTTGCTCCCAAATGCCCAGTGTTTGATGCAGCAGGGTGAGGGAGTGTTGAATTGCAGGAGGAAAAGATGCCGAGAGCAGCCTGGTAGGCCAGCCTGTAAATGTCATGCCTTGGGAAAGAAGCTATCTCTCAAATCCCCCCAGCCCAGCCTTGGCATGGAGGACTTGATGTTTCATGGGAAGGGAGCCCAGAGAGCTGAGTAAAGCTGACTTACTTTCTACACACACACTTTCCTTAGCTCTCGAGCTTAGGGTAGAGCATCTTGATATAAATCGTACCTACTTAGATGTGTAAACCTCTGAAAGTAGTCTTATGTCAGTTGTTAACTGTATTGATCAGAAACATAATGCCTCAGCCCAGGAAAAACCAATAGCCAGTGCAAACATGGCTTGATTCAGGTTCAGACCATGTAGCTAGGTTTTCAACATACCAGCCATGCCTAGTAGGCTGAGTATATGGTGCTAGGGCTCAGCTTTTAGAATTTCTAACTTCTTTCCCTTCAGAGCTTAGCTCAGATATTGCTTCCTCTGAAAATCCTTTCTCTGACTACCAGAACTTGGATGCCCCTCCTCAATGCTCTTATAGGCTCTCCCAACTCAGACTTGATTACAGTATGATGAAATTGCTATTGTCTGTGTCTTCCAGCAGACTGTAAGCTTATGAGGGAGAGTGTCATCTGTATTGATCATTGTATTACTTGCCTCAGCACAATGAAGAGCCTGAAAATAAATATTTGTTGACAAAATTTTTTTGTTTTTTTTTTCATTTTTTAAAAATAATTTTAAGTACTGGTATACTAAATTTTTAAATGAATACATGATTTGTGATTTCTCCCATGTGTAAAAATGGCAGTACTGCCCCCTACTACCTTAATCTAACACCCATGCATAGAACCAATGATCTAAACATTCGTCATTCTCATCTCTATTTACCTGTTCTAATAGGTTAGTGGAGAACTGCAATAGCTTGCTGTCCTCCTCATATAAAATGGGTTTTAGTGTCCCATTAGGAGGATGTATAGCCTATTTGCTAATTGTGCTGAGCTGTCTATACATCTCTTGTGTTACTTATAACACAAGAGAGTTGGATGAGAGGTTCTCTAACATTCTTTCTAACACTAAATACTCAGCCTTAATGTGTATCAGGGTTTCTCAATGTACCATTGGCATTTTGGACAGGATGATTCTTTGCTGTTAAGAGTCTGTTGCAGGAGCAACATCCCTGGCCTCTACCCACCAGATGCCAGTATCATGCCTCAGTTATAACAAACAAAATTATCTTCAGACTTTGCCAAATATGTCCCCCTGGGGGATGAGCAGTAAAATTACCTCTTGTTGAGAATCACTGATGTGTATTTGGGCACACACATGAGCTAAAGCTCATTCAAAGTTTCAAAAGACCCCTTCCCAAATACCTTTATTGATATTTCCAAGAAATGTGCTTCTTGCATAATTAATGTTAAATTCCTCAGTATCAGCATCATTCATATGGGTTCATAAGAGGTAAGAACACTGAAGGCAGACTGTCATTGTGAGCATTTTACAAAGTACTTGGGAGGGAAACAGATTCTAGAGGATCTTGAGGGTCTGAGAATGAGGAGGGCAAATAGATTTCATAATGAGTAGGAAGTCCAATGTGTGAGTTGAAGAATTCTGAGATCATGTTTAAGCTCAGCAGGAAAGAGGACTACATTTAAATAGCAAAGTCTGTCCATGGATTTGGGGAGAAGTAATAACAGCATGCCAGGCAGCTGCCATCTTTGTTTTACCAGCCTATCGAAAGTATTGCATGGCGTGAAGGTTATAGATGGTACCACCATTCTGATGATGTGGGGGTTGCTGCAGGGCATACAAGTGTTGTGGAATTTTCTATTTGCTTTACATTGCCTATATGTCATGCATAGTTAAGACCTGATATGGAATGTCTTTCGATTTGGATCCCAGAGTGAGTTTGCCTCAGCTGAACTTAAATTCAGGAAGTCAGTTTCTGTCTAAAATTCAAGACTTCACCATCTGGCACTGATACATGGGAGCGTTTATGTAAGCCTTTAGCTCCTAAAGGCACACTCCTTTTAGCTGGTGATTATTATGACCTTGATCTTTGCTTGTCAGTGAGTATAAAAGTTGGCCATTGTAGTCGTTCTCTGTACTTGCATCACAAAAAGGAGAGAATTCCCTGATCTAAGTAAAGCCAGGAGTAAAGAGCCACTACTTTGCGGGGAGAGGGGGCAGTCAGTGGTCCTGTGGCAGTAAACACTAGGGTGGGTTGGAAATCTGAGGTCACTGTGGCTCTATCAAGTAGTGACAGGTGGAGACCATCCCCAGGAAAAGCAGAACTGCAAGATCAGGGAGATTTGGAGTCCACCCACAGTAACCACAGAAAGCAAGGGAAAGATCACCTGTGTTGCATTTGAAAGATCTCATTATTGAACTTTCTCTTTTATCAAGTAGCCACTGCATGAAAAACCAGTGTAGAATATGTGGGTGATGGTAAAAGAGAAACAAACCAAAACACATTTCCCATCTCTTTCTCCTGAGCAATAGCAGGCAAAATAAACCTGGAAATCCTAGGCCTCTTCTCCAATTATCACAGCAATTTGGTATCCTACAAATTAAAAATCATTGCTTACTCAAGGTTCCTTTCTGTGTCTGTGTAGTCTGGAATGACCTAATCCAAATCCCATGCCTTTCCTTGTGTCAGTTCCCTCTTCTCCACTCACATATGCACAAACCCCACCCTAAATTGTCCTGTGTTGAAAGCTTTGCCTTTTTATGCTTTATCCTACCTGAACACATTTAACTTTTTATTCCTGAAATGTAGTAAAGCATTAGTTAGGAAATAGTGCTATTATTATTGCAGGCAATTTTTTAAATATAATAAATCAAAACAACATGTCCTTTGTTTTTCTCTCCATATTGGTCTGTTCTCACACTGCTATGAAGAAATACCTGAGGCTAGGTAATTTACAAAGGAAAGAGGTTTAATTGACTCAGTTTTGCAGGGCTGAGGAGGCCTCAGGAAACTTACAGTCATGGCAGAAGGGGAAGCAAACATGCCCTTCTTCGCGTGGCAGTGGTAAGGAGAAGTGCCAAGCAAAAGGGGAAAAAAACCCTTATGAAACGATCACATGAGTACTCACTATCACCAGAACAGCACGAGGGTAAATGCCCTCATGATTCAATTACCTCTCACCGGGTCCCTTCAATTAAAGATGAGATTTGGGTGGGGACACAGCCAAACCATATCACCCTTTCTTGTCATCTGCCTTCACTCTGCCTTTATTTCATCTCTTCCTCTACCCCTACCTTCATCTCTGTCTTTCCTCTTTTTTCCTCATCCTTTTCACTGTTTCTCATTTCCTTGTCCACCTTTCCCTCTTTCTTTTTGCTTTCTCAATTACCTTCCATAAGCATTAGACATAAATGCATTTTTGAAAAATTGTGACCCTGGAAGTGGCACTTGAGTAAGCGTGTGGCAATGGGATTATGCCTGATTTGTACTGGCTCCAGAAATGAATCTTCAAATAGTGTCTTAGCATTAACCTTGCTGTCCAGATTTAAAGGTCATATTCTTGCAACAAGAAAACACCTTCTGGTTCAGGCCCTAAAACTTAATAAGGGAATGATGAATCTCTGTCAGAACACTCTCCAGTTTAAGAATTAGCATTTAGAGGAGTCTGGAAGTTTGCAGAAGTTGGGGCATAGGAACAGGAAAGCAAGTTAGCAAAGGAAGAGAGAAGAAAAGGGGGGAGGGAGAGATGTAAG